CCCCCAAAACCCCAAAACCCCATAGATATGTTTTTAAGCATAAAAGAGATAAATGCCAACAAAATCTAATTAAAATAACAAAATGAATAGTTTTAATAGTCTTCTATCTTGCATTGGCTGTTAAAAGTTCTTCAATAAGACAAATAGAATACCTTAAACTCTTCCATGCCAGGATGTTATTTGCTTATAGTGCTATGAAGTATAGAAATAAAATCCTGATTTGCAGCAAATTGTTTGTCCCTGCGATAAAAATCACACCTTCAATAAAAATTAATAAGTATACGAGTCATTGTTCATTATGAGACATCTTGATTAAAACATGATGTATCCTATTAATTGCAGGTACCATTCAAACGAATAAGCAAAGATATATTGTAAGAGAGATAAACAGATAATTTGCAGTATCTGTTGCATTTCTGAAAATCATAAAGATTGTTAAGAAGCTAAGTAAGGTCATACCTAGTTCATTTATTAAAATCTTGTCAAATCTTTTGAGATCATCACTAGTAAACTTCAAAACATAATTACAGATGTACAAAGTATAGCAGAATAAAATTAAGAGATCATTAAGAATGAGAGATAGTTTACATAGAATGAGATTGAAAATTTGATCCAGCAAAATAATAAATACCTCAAGGTTTCTTAGCCACAAGGAAAATTAGATTAAGAGGATCCAAGGAATCAAGTCTTTGAGTTTATGGAAAATTATATGTATATTTTCATTTTATTTATATTTTTTTAGTGAATTAACCGATGAGGAAATTTCTGATTTCGAAGAGGAATCTAAAAATGTTTGTAACTCACAATGCTCGCTTACATTTTCCCATGATGAGTCACTATCAGATTAATAAGATGACTAATAAGTCAGAATTCCAGCATCATTAATAGGGTAGAAAGAAAAATATCTATAATTTAGAAAGCTAGTTGACATAGAGATAAGATAGTTAGATCAAAATTTATTGAGCAAACGGATCAATGAATAGGGGTAGGCAAAATTCAAATTGATGTTTAAAGGAAGTAGAGATTAGTTTGAATACTATACCTTCCATTGTATATTGACAATGCAATTAATTACTTGCTATTCTGACCCTTCAATTATTACTTTTATCTTGACTGAGTTTGGCCAAATATTTGGAGCATTCAATAAGTAAGAATTTCATACTAGAGAATCTACAGCCCCTAGAACAGTTAAGGATGAAAAAGCTTTTTTATTCTCACTATCAAGAAAGAAAATATACAGCTAATTCAGATTTTTTAGTCAAGCATTAGTCATGTAAAAGCCTTATTTGCTGAAATTTGGCGATAATGATTTATGTATTCATGAGAATTGTGATTCATAGCAAAATTCATCTGCAAATTTAGGTGGCACTTATTCTTATAAGAATGGCATAGATGAATAATATTTGTAATAAGAAGAAATTAGGAAATCATATTTGGGAGGAGGTGAAAAATTTAAAGTATTAGAAATTGAAGTTTATAAGGTTACATTTTGACTAGAATTAGTCGAAATCTAATATCAATTTGTTGATTATTTTATTGCATCAAGCATATTTTTTAATGGTAGAAGTTAGGGGTTTTGGGGTTTTGGGG